ATGAAGTTCCTTACGGCAGGAGAGAGAGCGATGAGGGCGCATCACTGAAATATTGTGATATTATACCAACACTGAATATGTGTGAAGTTATAGGGAGTGGTAGAGCGACGAGGGTGCATCACTGAAATATTGTGATACTACACCAACACTGAATATGTGTGAAGTTATAGGGGGTGGTAGAGCGACGAGGGTGCATCCCTGAAATATTGTTATATTACACCAACACTGAATATGTGTGAAGTTATAGGGGGTGGTAGAGCGACGAGGGTGCATCACTGAAATATTGTTATATTACACCAACACTGAATATGTGTGAAGTTATAGGGGGTGGTAGAGCGACGAGGGTGCATCACTGAAATATTGTGATATTACACCAACACTGAATATGTGTGAAGTTATAGAGGGTGGTAGAGCGACGAGCGTGCATCACTGAAATATTGTGATATTACACCAACACTGAATATGTGTGAAGTTATAGGGAGTGGTAGAGCGACGAGGGTGCATCACTGAAATATTGTGATACTACACCAACAGTGAATATGTGTGAAGTTATAGGGGGTGGTAGAGCGACAAGGGTGCATCACTGAAATATTGTGATATTACACCAACAGTGAATATGTGTAAAGTTATAGGGGGTGGTAGAGCGACGAGGGTGCATCACTGAAATATTGTTATATTACACCAACACTGAATATGTGTGAAGTTATAGGGGGTGGTAGAGCGACGAGGGTGCATCACTGAAATATTGTGATATTACACCAACACTGGATATTTGTGAAGTTATATCAAGCTGTGGACCAGTAACGCCTGTGAGACATGATTATGATTACAAGGTGAGTACTTATCAGGAGGTGGCAGAGCGACGGGGGTGCATCACTGGATTATTGTGACATTGTAGTTTATTCTAAACTGTGGGCCAGTCCTCCCTAGCATCCTTTACGAACGCTAGCGGGACATGATAATAAGGTGCGTATGTAGGGGGTGGCACAGCTACGAGGGTGCAGCACTGGAATATTGTGACATTACACGAAATCTGGATATTTGTGACGTTATACCGAGCTGTGGATAAGGAACACCTGTCATCTGCTGTAAACTTAAGCTAGACATGATAACAAGGTCAGTACTTAACAGGGGGTGAAAGAGCGACGGGGGTGCAACCCCAAATTATTGTGGCATTATACCAACACTGGATTATTGTCGTATATTATACTAAACTGTGGTTAAGTCCAGGGGGGTGGCAGAGCGACGGGGCTGCATTACTGGATTATTGTGACATTGTAGTTTATTATAAACTGTGGGCCAGTCCTGCCTAGCAATCTTTACGAACACTAGCTGACCGAACTGAAAAAAATGTGATAATAAAACCGTAAGAAAAAATCCGTGGAAAAAACTGCGTGGAATAAAACCGTTAAATGAGACGTGCGCAGGCGCGACAGTCGCATGCACAAGCGAGTTTGCAATTTGTGTCGATTCTACATTAGCCGAAGGAACTTCGTTCCTACCTGGTGTCCCACGACACCACATCATTTTTCTTTTTTATAACAGTTTAAGTACGTTTGACCACAATCGCATCTGATATTGAAATGAAATGTCATTTATTCAGTCTAGGCTGTTACAAGCACTTGTGAAGGTCAAGAAGCTACGCCATCGGTTCGCAAAACTACGGCGGGAGACCTTGTACTGAGAAGAACCGGCAAGAGACTCAGCAAGGGCTGTTTTTTTCTCCCTGTATTGTTATATACAGAATCGTCAAGTTGAAAAATGACTTCAGAGATACGCCTGAAGTCACTTTCCATTACATCATTTAGAATATAAATATATAGTTACAATAAATTTTATAGTTAACATTATATTTAGTATATAGGAAGCGGCATTAGAGAGGTACAATATTACTGTTATAAAAATGACTAATACCCATCAAATAACAAATTATAAGAAACACTATGTCCATGCATTATGATCATTTAGATAATCATCAACTTTATAATAGCCCTTATTCATCAGAGTATTTTTGATCTGAGATATTAAGCAATGATGTGGTTAAAGCATAAGGAAACTCCAGTAAAGTCTTGCCTTCAAGTTCAATACATTAATACAGACGCAGATCCAGAGTTCGATCCCCTGCAGTTCGCATGATAAAGAAGGATGCGAATCGTGAGGTGCGCAGGTCAGGTATGTCGACCACGTACGGACGAAGACCCAGTCCAGTCCACGTTTCGTCGTCATCGTAGAGATATTAAAAAAACAATCACGCCAAATTAGCTGTTTACAGTTTATCCGAGTAAAGGCCTCTTCAGAAGGAGAATGGCTATTATAATTTGTTAGGGAATACTTTGAGATCTTATCAGTGTCAAGACTTACTTATATATCCTTATCATTTCGTAATTCCTGGAAATAAGGGAGTAACGCAATCCAATGTATGTAGATATAGTGAATTTTAGCAGCAAGGGCGTCGCCAGCTTATGACTAAGGGGATGGCAATGGGGCAATATTATAGGTAAGGAAGTCAATTGCTCGCACTTTGGTCGCTTTGCGGCTAGCTACATTTATTGGTCTCTAGCGGGGGGGCAGCTGCCCCCCCCTGCCCCTCCTTGGCGACGCCCTTGGTCACCAACATCCTGCCTGTTTCATTGAACATATATATTATCCATTTATGCTTACTATATGTGACAAAAAGTTACCGATTTTATATCACATAATCTCTTTGCTAAGAAGCATTTACAAATACCTAAAACATGATCACAACCGAACTTAAAAAAAATGTAACCATGTTCCTGCTTTTATTCTTTTCCAAAAAGGAAAAAAAAAACTTTTTGTCTATGAGTATTTTGAATTCAGCCACTTCTCGTACGCTGCAACTTCACAGCTAATAACGAAACGCCTCTTAACCACGGACCCATTGATAATGTTTCACGGCGGATACTGTATTGTGATTGAAATTACAATATTGTGACCTTATCGTACCACGGTAATTGGCGTGGGGTGAACGCTCCACGGCCCTGTTCGCCAGACATTTTTAGACAGAATGTGAAATGCATGCTTAGCTGCATTCTTAATACTATTACATATTCTGTAATCAATGGTTAAAATAGTATGTTTGGGCAGCTTTAGAGAAGGTCAAAGGCTATTTCTTGTTAGAGAAGAGAAGTATTTTTCTATAAGTAAAGGAGTAATATGAATGTTCTCTTGTCAGTGCAATTCATATGGTCTCGTGTTGGCATCATTCTACATGAAAATGTTTTGATGGGATTTCATTTCTTTTTCGAAGTTGCTTGTGACAATTTTTTTTATGAAGTTTATGTCGAATAAGATATTTTTTATTATTTATAATTACAGGAAATAAATTAAAAAATATAAAAAAAAAAAAAAATATAAATTATTTATTTATTAAATTTAATATTTTGGCTCCAAATATTAAAATAGTTAACAGTAATTCCCTTTACCTTTTAGGTTCTCCAATTTTTGATGAATCTATTTCTGAATATTTTAATAATTCAATTAATAAATTCCAAAATTTCTAGTATGGGATGCAACCTGTTCAGACACGCTGGCCCCTTCCCATCTACACGGAACCAACAACAGAGCTGGTGCGGCTTGTGAAGCTGCTGAAAAAGCTAAGGCAGGCAAATACAGGGGTCTAGGCTCCGAATATGATTTTGTCCCATTCGGTGTCGAGACCCTTGGTCCGTGGGGTCCTAGCGCTTTAAGGCTATTTAAGGAAATAGCAAAAAGGTTAGTCGACGTCACAGGAGACCGAAGAGCTGGCAGCTACCTCGGACAAAGAATTAGTCTAGCCATTCAAAGAGGTAACGCTGCCAGTATCTTCGGTTCCATGCCTAAAGGGACTCCTTTTAATAATATATTTTAGTTATTGATTTTTATGTTTTTAAGGTTTTTAATTTTAGTTTTAGTTTTATTATTCTAGTATTTATATTTTACTTATATATAGTAATTATGTAATTAGATAGAGACTTATTTGTTTATAGTTAGTGTATTTTATAGTTTTATGATGTGAAATTGTTAATGTTAGTTGTATTTTATTGTTATATCTTCTTAAGTTATATGCCGAATTATTAATCTTATGCAATAAATATTTGTGAATTAATGAAAATAAATTAATGTATTACAGGAAGATCCGATATTAATTTTCAGACCTAAAGAAGAAGAGTTTGTGCAACCACAGAAAATTTCCTGTTGGCAAATAAACTATTTTCTACTTTTCTCTACAATACGCATACTTTTTGCTTTTTCTTCTCATAATTTATTCTGCACATACATATATATATATATATAGTAGGTATTCCAATGTACGAATACATTTAAAAATACTCATATCTTGCAAAGTCGTTAAGAAGCTTACATCTCATCCCGTCTATTTTTCACGGTGAGCGTAAATCACACGATTGCTCATTTCATACAATCATACTACGTCTGGTGGACTGCTTCATTCACGTACGGTCAATCGAAAACTCAATGGTCATCCGATGCATCAATCAACGAATCCACGACGTATTCACAACAAGCATCATCATCGTTTGAAAGCGCACGAGTCGACGGCGACCCGCCGACCACGCAGACGTAGACGGCCTCATTCCTAATACTTGAACTGCACGTCATCACTGATTAGCTCCCATGTGCTACCTGTTTATTTATATTTCGTATAGTAAACATATGAATACTGTGCGTTCATTTTGTTTCCAAAGCTTAGTTTTCAGTATTTGATAAGTTTAAGGATTGGTATTGTTAACTTATGCCTAATTAGTCTGTAGGGCGTTCATTTTAATATGATTTATTTGTGTCTACAGTGAAGGTTAAAAAAATAAGTTTCAGTTAACTGCATAAATTCTTGTATCTCTCTCTACAATCTCTACAATCAATTAATTATAAAAAAAAACACTAGTTATAATGCCGTGATTATCATCCTCGGAACCCACTGCATCCATGCCGGTATCATGATCACGAGTGACCCTCATAAATACTCCGCTGAAATCGTAATTGTAGGACAAAATATTTTTTATCGCGCCAACCGCGGTGTGCTTTTAAACATGGCCGTCGGCCGGCGCCATTCAGTATAACCGCAACCGGTGGCGAAGGCGCTCCCGCCAACTAACATTACGATTCAAAACAAAACTTTGTAATAAAAACTCAGTGAACACTTTCGCATATTTTTTTTAATTTAAAAGAAGGTTTTAGTGATCATACTTTCAGCTAAATTTTACAAGTGATTTTTTAATTCGGAATCTCGTAGATGCCAATTAGCCGGCATCATCGCATTCGATATCTGAATAGCTCAGGGTCCGATTTGCATTTACCGTGAATGTGATAAATTGTGCAAGGAGTTTGTAAGCAGAGTCCGTTTAGGTGAGTGACATGAGATGTAACTAGATTTAGTCTCGAATTATTTTTACACTGGGAACACGCGGGAACGCAACTGCAACTATTTTTGGAGCACGCTGAGTTAGCACTATGCTACATTCTCATGTTACAAAAAATAATGTCGAGAAAGTTGTAAAAATATCAGCGTTGCATTTTACAGCACTTTGGATACAAGTCATTAAATTGAGGAAAGTCTCGTAGCTCAGTATATGATTGTTTTATGAAAGTTGCAGTTGTTATTGTTTAATTATAAACAGCCTTAAAATATTCAGTCTTTATAAAAAGAGTTTTGTTTAACAGATATAGGTACTCCATAGAATTCTAATGTAGAATGTGTGGTCCTAATTGCTAATGAGTTCATTCACATTCATTACCTATATAGTGACAGTTAGTTAACTATTCATGCTCCTTCGGAAACCATCAACATTTTTTGTGGTTGGACCAGATATTGATGATAATAATAAAAATAAATAAACGTTTGTTGACTTTAAGCAAGTTACAATATACAATATTTTTAAACTGATGAGACAAAAATTGGTGACCTATTGTCACCAAATTTTGCTTTTTGGACATTTGAAGCTTAAATAAATATTGTAAAAGGTGACTTTATTTACTAAATAACATATAAGATGCTTGTAACATGCACTGAAATAGACATAAAGTAGATGTGCGTTAGAATGAGTGTTTAAGAATCCTAACATAACAAAGTTTTACAAAATATGCAAAACGTGTGTAAAAACAATTGTTATTTATCGGAATTCTACTTTGTAGAAGTTAACAAAATTATGTTAGTTACTTGCGATAGAATGTTAAGTACTTAATGGTATAAAAATGATAACGAAACTTACTACAAATCGTTATACCTACCTACCTAATTACTAACTAAAGTATTTAAATTTAAATTCGCTCAGAAACATTCGAAGTGGTCCAATGCGGTAATTGGTGTGTGTTCGTGTTGAGTGTGTTAACAACCTGTAGAGTCGACTTCACAGCCTAAGTACCTTCCGAAATCAAAAGCTCTTCCGAGGGTATTTAATCACAACGAAAAAAACAAAACAACGTAACTAGTATTGGCAACCAGTGCAATGACCGTTCTTTGTGAATGTTTCACTTCCAAACTCATAAATCGAGTGAGTGATATCCTTGTTCAAATCTCGATTTAATATAAGTTGGTATTAAGCTCTACATTTACTAAAGACTGGGTCCGATCTACAAATACATGCATGTGTATATCCTTCGGATTAAAACAGAAAGTTAACGTTTCCTTGAAGAAATAATCTGTTTTATATGTTAACATGTTTCTGATAGAACTCTGCGTGAATTTTAATTCGGGCAAATCAGTATTACTAAATTGTAATTGAATAAGTACGACTACCGAAGTACAACTTAAATTATTACTTTTTTTCAACCCGGGAATTCTACTTTCTACTAATATTTTTAATAATATGTAAGTTTGTATGTTTGTTACTCAATCATGCGAACGAATGCTGAATGGATTTGGATGAAATTTTACACATACATAGTTTATAACCTGGAAAGAGTCATAGGATACTTTTTATACTAGAATAGCGTTAGGTTCCTAAGGGATTTTCAAAAAAACTAAAGTTAACGAGGACAAAGTTGCGGGCGGCCGCTAGTTTCAAATAAATTAAAATGGTTGTTGAAGTGGAATCTGGTTTTCCCCGACAACTGTATGTAGCATTTTCAACAAACCATTGAAAAAAAATATCGCTTTTGCTATTATGGCAAAAATGCGTGGATGTTAAGTGTTGTGTCATCTTCATCTAACAATCAGTACAGGTTGGACAATAAAATTTATAGTAATAAGCGTTAAATTTAGTAGGTATCTATAGATACCTAAGTTATGTTCCCCACGCATACAAAATTTCTTTAAAATCCACTTGACGAGCTTATAGAATACTAGCAGGAACCCAAAATTTTATCGGGAATTCAGAATTCATCCTTATCCGTTTTTGCGCGATTAAGTAACAAACAAACAAACTCACTTTCGCATTTATAATATATTGATATTGCCAATCATTTTCAGATTTTGTTGTCAAAAGATTATATTAAGTACTATTGGGTGACCACGCGGCTTCGTCTGGGTTGTTTAATTGGTTTCCCATACAAAGTTTCATCATCCTTTATAGGATGAGTTCTGGGATAAAAAACTATCCTATGTCTTTTCCCATCTTTTTCCCACTTCATCTCAATCGGTTCAGTAGTTTAAGCTTGAACAGGTAACAAACAGTAAGAGAGACACACGCCTTTATAAGATTAGTGTGGATCTGTGTAAAATGTCCACAAAATTTATAAAGGATTCTTTCATTCATCATATACGTACTTACTTACTTTTCCGTATTCTGTTATGTTTTATTAACACCAGAGGTTACCAATTGATAGCTAATCTAATAGGAAATTGTTATCTATATTTCCAGTTACTCGATCAATGGAATTTCGATTCGGGACGGGTTTCGATTGTATATACACGTTATGAAGTGTGTGTCGAATGATAAAATACAAAGCTACTGCTCATTCTATATATGTATTATCTATAAACTTGGCCTTTTATCAGATGCACTATCGACCTTCTTGGTACAATTGTTGAAAAACATGCTAGGAATTTCACTGACGCCTTATGACTACCAATTGCAAAAAGGAAAATTATTAATATTATAACTGATATCTATCAATAACTGTTTTTTTTATTTATTATGAATTTAAAATTCATTTTTTTATTTCAAGCTGTTCTTCAAAATTCTTCAAAAAACTTCAAAAATTTGTTACTTTATAAATGCCCCATAATACTTTATTGGCTAATCCAAAAAATACGTAACTTATCTATGAACACAGATATTTATTATTGAACTGTGAACATAATGTTTGACGTGCGTATGTTTGGCAACAATGATATCATTGCGAAAATATGATACTTTGAATATTTATTCGAAATTAATGTGGAATGATATTTTGCTCAAGTTATCGTCCATCCGGTGGTTGTACACGTCTTTAATATCTATTTTTTTTTCGATATACTATGTGCGTTTGAGCACATTAATAACTATATTAATGGTGGTTGGAAATCAGGTATTCGTTTATATTTCATGTAAGTAAAATGCATCTACTTTTAATTATCTAAAATGTACGGCTCACTAATGAAAGAGACACATCAAATTAAAACATTTACATATATTAAAACGTACTTTAAAGTCAACTCTACGATCAATGAGATATTGTCTGAAGATTTATATTGATTGCGATTTTATTCATAATTATTCATTTCCAGACCATTATGAAACGAAATACTATGTAAATAGATGTACAAGACAGGCAACATTTGTGATACTTCTCGTGTATCAGATGTCTATGGCAGACTAGAACAGGAGACCTACTCTGAATCAACGAAAAATGAAAATTCCGTCGAAACTTCGCACTTTTCTTACTATGTTTCTGGTTTTTAATTTTAATAATATTCGTTGTCGGAATATAAATTGAGGTGTAAATTTTCTTAGCGTACTCAAAGAAAGCTTCAATTAATTTATGAAAAGTCTCATTGCCTTTTGTCCCTAAGAACATAATAAATCTGGCGCCAGATCATTCATAAATTTGAAATATAACTTGTGTTGGAAAAAAAACTCACAATCCCAAATATTCCATTCAACTATTTCTCGGAAACGACCCTTTTGCCGGAATATTTCGGATCCCTTTGAACGCCAGGGATCTTTACGAACCCTATTTGAATCTATCGACCTTTGGAGAGCATTGTACAAATGTTTGTGTTTCAAATAAGCTTTGTGCATGTACTCTCACATATATTTTTCAAATATTTCCAGAGAAAGAATTAATTACACACATGGTTGAAGATAGTGTAGAAGTTTGCTTCAAATTAATTCAAAATCGGTACGGTGATAAAATACTAAAGCATCACGTAAAAGTCATTCAAACTTAGGCTATGGACTAGCGACCAACACCTAATTGTAGTCAGAACTTTTTCCAAATCGTTTATTGACGCATTATACCGTTTATGCGGGACAAAAAATCCAGTAAGTGCGTAAGCGATATGAAAACATGATAAGAGACAAACTTATTAGCAATCCATGGATTCACCTTGCGGGTGCCGGGTTCATCTAAGGAGGCCCCCTTTAAGATGCCCTTTATAAATTAACAAGATAGCCATTTTTTGTTAGTTCATTGTTTAGATCGTAATATATATTAAATTTTATTGTGTGGTCTTTTGTAATGTTAGTTTCCCACGGTACAGTAAGCTCTATTAGTACTATATGTTTGATGTGATTACAAAAGAGGAATATGTCTTGCCTGGATGACGAAATACTAATATCCTCTGGTATTTTATTATACTTTTCATACGTATCCATTACAATAGTCCAGTCAGGTACCTAGGATTGTGAAAGGCTTGCTTTTCGAGTTAACAGTTGAGCCTTTTTTCATAAAGTTAATTTGTTTTTTATTTGTAGTTAAACCTTTTTGGGCTCTTGCCACTGCAAGACTAGCTGCTTCACGTATGGTTTCAAGTACTCTATCATGGCGACGTGATTATTGACCCCTATCAAGGAGCACCTTGCAACCTATCAATATGTGCCTAGCAGTACCTATTGCCTCACCACAAGTATAGCACGTTTTTTCAGAGGCTTTACCCCATCTAGTAAGACTAGGTTACTCTGGTCTGGGAGGTTAATTTGGAAGGCATTGAGATAGAATTTTAGTAGAGCAGGAGACCAATTATGTAGTAAAGTGCGCCAGTTCAGAGCTAATGGAATACAGAACTCACCTATGGTTAACCACTCACTTTGTATATCCAAATTCATTGCGTGTATTTTATAGTTATCATTTTCGTTTTGTTGTATGATAGATTATAAAGCCCGACTCTATTAACCTGTGCACCTGCCATAAATTGTTTATGGAATTGAACTCTTGACTCAAGATCTGTAACACGTTTGTCATTTGGAAGTGATGAGACTATTTCA